GGGCATAGAAATACAAGCAAGGAAGGATCTCTATAATCAATCAGTCAAATAGCCAACAAGTTCCCATTCCATATTTGGTTTGGGTGTTTAGGCTGGGGGCAAGGAAGCCTTGTATCCCCTGCTTAGGGACCAGGAGGAAACACCCAACCTACTCCACATCTTCAGTCTCAGCTAAAAGTCCCTGCAACATTAGAGGGTTGGAAAAGGCCATCTCAGCTCCTGTGTTCTGTGTTTTTCGATTAGTCAGCCCTTTGGGGTAGATACCACAGGTAGTGAGGGGCTTTTTTTTCCCTAGAAAGCTATTGAAAAACAGGTTTGTGTGAGAATAGGAAGGGAAGGAGGGGGCCCTGATGGGAGAAGGAAGTGAGGAGAGGGGTGGTCTGACACTCTGCCATAACATGGATTGGGTGTTCACACCTTAGAAGTGGTTGAAGGGATGAGGGCCCTGGGCTGGAGGCCACTTTGTTTCAGCACTGGGGATTTGGGGGTAGAGAGTGAAGAATGGGGCTACTCTCCCAGCTCAGCCAAATCCTCCCTGTGTGACCCGGGTTTAGGCCTCTGCTCTTCCCTGGACCTCCATTTTCCTTTCTGTGAAATGAGAGCTGAGGGGGGTATCTGGGCACTGGGGGAAAGCCCAGGGCCAGGTTCCGCATGACCATGCCCCAGTTCTTCCTGCCGCCCTAGGCCAGCCCAATCCTGGACCTGCCAGATGGCGTTAGAGCCCTGGGAGGGGGTAAGAACACTTGGCCTATTTCTAGCTTCAGCTCTGCGGCTGATCTATTCACTTCGTGACCTTAAGAAGACTCAGTTTTCCCTGGCCTGGGGGAGGGAGAGAACATGGTGGGACGTAGACAAAAATCTGGGCCAATCTGCTCGTGCCTTGCCCCTCTAGTCTCTGTTTTCAGGCCCCCTGGCACTAAGCCCCACTTACAAAGACCCCTTCCCTTGAGACCTGGACTCCCAGTGACTTTGTTCTTTGAGACCATGAATCTACCCACAATCTCAAAGACCCCAGGAAGGCCTGGGGCATGGATCCCTGTCTCAGAGCCCACTTGCTTGGTCCTTCTGCTGTGGTGAGGAACCCTCCCTGGGCACTGAACCACATAAGACAGGCAGGGAATAGTAAAAAAAAAAAAAAATTATGCTTTTTTTTTTTTTTTGAGGCAATTGAGGTTAAATGATTTGTGCAGGGTCACACAGCTAGTAAGTGTCTGAGGTCAGAATTTGAACTCAACTCCTCCTGACTCCAGGGCCAGTGCACTATCCACTGAACCACCTAGTTGCCCCCTGAGATTGAACTCATTGACATCTAGGGACCCTTCCAGATCTGTAGCCTATGACTGACTGATTCCTTTACCCACAGGAGCGGGGAACCTGTGACCCTGAGGCCCTCTAGGTCCTCAGGTTCAACCCTTTGACTGAATCCAAACTTCACAGAACAAATCCCCTTAATAAAAGGATTTGTTTGGTGAAACTCAGACTCAATCAAAAGGCGATAGCCAAGAACCTAGAAGGCCACATATGGCCTCGAGGCTGCAGGTGTTCCCCCCCCCCCCGAACCTAAAGCTGCAGGATATTGGAGCCAGCACCCTAGAGACTGTCCAGCTCAACACCATCCACCCACCTGCCACTTAGTGGAAGCCCATTGAAGAATTCGTCCAAGGTCCCAGAGAAACCTAGGACAGAGCCCAGCCTGGACTCCCAGACTCTCGATGCCATAGGCCAGGCCTACACCTCCCCCCACAGGGAACAGTCTACAGGTGTACAGCCTCCCTCCCCCCACAGGGAACAGTCTACAGGTGTACAGCCTCCCTCCCCCCACGGGGGACAGTCTACAGGTGTACAGCCTCCCTCCCCCCACAGGGAACAGTCTACAGGTGTACAGCCTCCCTTCCCTCACAGGGAACAGTTTACAGGTTAACAGGAGATGGTGAAGCTCAGTGAAGAGATGGAGTTATGGGGGGATTTCAATAAGAGGAAGAAGGCAAGGAGAGGTAGGTGTCACTAAGCCCCTCCCCTGGGTGCAGGAGGCGCTTTCAGCACCAATCCGAAAGAAAGTTCTCAGGGAAAAGGGCTCAGAGGAGCCGGGACCTCAGTGCCAGTCAACAAGCATTATTAAGCTCCTACTATGTGCCAGACACTGGGGGCAAGGAGCTGAGACTACAAAGACAAAACCAAACTGGGCCCTGCCCTCAGGGAGCTTACATTCTACTTGGGGGAAAATGAGAGAACACTTAACTCTTGTCAAGAAAGACTTTACAGAGGAAGGTCAGAATTCTGAGCAGCAAAGATGAGAAGGAAGAGCATACTAGGAAGGAAAGATAGTTTGTGCCTGGAGCAGATACACTTGGGAGTTCCAAAAACACATTCAATTTGTCTGGAATGCCAAGGACCTAAAGGGGAGTGGACGGGACCCAAAGCCTGGTGGGTTAAATGCAGATTGTCAGGGGCCCTAAACGCCCGGCAGAGAAGCCCAGGGACTCCTAGGGAGCCCACAAAGGGTTTTGAGAAGGGGAGTGGTAATACCACCAAATCTATATCTTAATAAGATGATTTCTGTAGCTGAGTGAAGGAGGGGAAAGGCTGGAATAAAGGAATCAATTAATTAGGAGTCTGATTACAATAGTACAGGTGAGAGGTAATTATGTCGCCGCTGGCAAGAGAATGAAGATAAGGGGCCAAATGTGAGAGGTGTAATTAAAAGAGATAGCAATCAGACTTTACAGCTGATTGGACGTGGTAAGGAAGAGGAGAGCTACAAGTGAAGACGGGACATAGAGTGGAAAGCCAGCTGACTCTAGAGACAAAGGACTTGGATCCAAATCCTGCCTCCGATGTTTTCCTGTGTGACCCTGGAAAAGTCACTTGCCATCCTCAAACCTCAGTTTTCCTCATCGATGAAATGAGGAGGTTTGGAGTACCACGTCTCTGAGGTCCCTCCCGGCTCTATCTCTGGGATTCCTACAAGTAAATCCAAATTAACTTGGGGTGGGGAGAGAAAGCGCTACCACCCAGAAGGGGGATTAGGAAGAGTCTCACGAAGAAAAAGGTATTTGATAGGTGTTTCAAAGGAAGGCAAGAATTGCCATGAGGCAGAAGTGAGCAGGGAGGGAATCCCAGACATAGATTCCCTCCACGAAAAGGCACAGAGACAGAGAGGGTTCCGGACAGGCACATTGTGCCTCTATTTCTCGGCCTTTTTCCATGTGTCAGTCACACTCTGGCTCTGTCTTCTGTGTCTCTCTGTCCTGAGTGGAAGAGCTGCTGTGGGGAGTGGGCTGTAAGGGAGGAGAGATTTGAAGATTGAGGACAGGGTCTGGGTGACACATGCCTGGCCTGGAATAGCCAAAGCTGAGGTCACTTCCTGGGGGGAAATTCAGAGAGCCAGAGCCCTGACTCAGCCTCTAGTACCACACCCTACCTGATACCCATCCACATAGGGACAGAGTCTCAGCTCCAAGATGTAGCTCCATAAATCCATTCCTCCTTCTCCCATGTCTGCTTCTCCCTGTAAGTTTCTCTTTTTCTTAAGGGCTTTCCTATTAGGTGCAAAGATCCTTAGGGCTAGGAATCTGAGTCCTGTAAGTGGCTAGGGTGGAGCTGGCCCGGCCCAGTGTGAGTCAGTCAGTCACCCATCCAGTATCGGCAGTCTGGGGCCTTCACACTGGCTGAGGAGGCCATTTGGTGCTGTTCCTGACTCAGTGTGTGTTACAGTAGGTCCAGGGCTCGTCACAATTTTCATGATGGAGAGATAGAGGCTGAAAAACAGAGATACAAGTGGAGACAGATGGAGAGACCTGGGGAGAGACAGAGACATGGAGAGGAAGAAAGATAGACATAGGGGAAATAGACTGAGAGACACAGGGAACGATAGACTGAGAGATTGATGGGGGAAATATGGAAGAAAAAAAAGCAAACAAATTGCAGCGACTCTGAGAGATACGGAGAAACAAACTGAGATACATAGATAACATTCCCTGTAGGGAAGGGAGGAAGAAGGGAATAAACACCTATAATGTGCCAGACACTGCAAATATTTACAAATATTATCTTACTTAATCATTGATAGGTGTTTCAAATATTTACAAATGTTATCTTACTTAATCCTTGATGGGTGTTTCAAAGGAAGGCAAGAATTGCTGTGAGGCAGAAGTGAGCAGGGAGGGAATCCCAGGCATAGATTCCCCCCGTAAAGGCACAGAGACAGAGAGGGTTAAGGACAGGCAGATTGTGTGTGTGAGAGAGAGAGAGAGAGAGAGAGAGAGAGAGAGAGAGAGAGAGAGAGGAAGAAAGAGAAGAAGAAGAAGAAGAAAAGAAGAAGAAAGACTGGGAAACAATGAGAGAGACATGGAGCTTAAGACAGAGGAGACAGAGACATAAGCAAAGACAAGACGGAGTGATATTTAGTAAAAAAAAGAAAGGTTCAGAATAGGTGCTTTTATTATTCCCATTTTACAGTTGATAAAAACTGAGGCAAACAAATTAATTGACTTGCCCACACAGGGTCACACAGCTAGGAAGTGTCTCAAGCTAGATTTGAATTCAGGTCTTCCTGATTCCAGACTGGGAAACAATGAGAGAGACATGGAGTTTAAGACGGAGGAGACAGAGACATAAGGAAAGACAAGACAGAGTGATATTTAGTAAAAAAGAAAGCAAATTGATATATAGTAAAAGAAATACAGGGAAAGACAGGCGCAAGTGGAGGCAGAGACGGAGAAAGAAGAACACAGGGAGCAAAAAACACAGGCTAAAAGATGAGGAAAGAAATCTAGGGAGACATAGAGACACAGTGATAGAGACAGACAGAGACAGAGATAGTCTGAGATAGATGGAAAGAGAAAGCCTGAGACAGAAAGGTAGAGACAGACTAATGGAGCTACAGGGACAGACACATCAGAGAGCTAAAGAATGAGCCATCGGGGGCGGGGAGGGGGAGTTCCTGGGGCCTCAGGGAGGAGCTGGCCCCATCGGAGTAATGTCGAAATCTCCCTCAAGGGGTGGAAACATCATCCCTGGCTCAGTCCGGGTGTAGAGAGACAGAAGAGCTTACAGTTTACTGGACATGAGGGCGCTGACCCTGAGTCTCCTGTTGCTGGCTGCTGCCCAGGCTCAAGGTAGGGAACCCAGAGGAGTCTGGGAAGGGGATTCTGGAGTTTGGGAGAAAGTGGCAAAGTAAGGCAGGGAGAAAAAAAAATAGCCTTGTTCTCATTCTTCTTCCGAGGAAGGACCTAGAGGCAGAGGCTAAGAGGCATATGAAGAAAGAAAAAGAGGGGAACGGGGTAGAGAAAAAGGAGGAGAGGCAAGCAGAGGCAGACGCTCGGGGATAAGCACTCCCTCATTCAGGGTCTCATAGGATCCTACATCTGGGGTTGTAAGGGCCAGCAGAGACTATGCAGTCCAACGTCCCTGTTTTACAGATGAGGAAACTGAGGCCCAGGGAGGGAAGTGACTTCTCCGGTTTGTCACAGGGAGTGAATGGCCGAGCAAGGCGTTGAATGTCTTTCCGGCTCGGATGGATTCTGACAGACTCGGAGAAACTGAGACACAGCTATAGGGAGAGGTGGAGAATGGGAACAGGAAGAGGCCAGAACGGACTGACGTGGTGGGGAAGAGGCAGTCCCCGAGGGAGCTGGAGACGTGAGGGGTCCGACAGGGGCCCGAGGGCCTGGGAAAGGACGGGAAGCTTGTTCTTTCTCTTCAGAAGGGGGTAACCGCTCTGCCACATCTTCCCCTAGCTCGCTTTGAATTCAGATTTGAAGTTGGGAAACCTGACAAAGAGGAACTTAGTCAAGCTGGGTGAAGTAAGGGAAGGAAGCACTACCGGGGCGGGGGAGGAGGGGAAGGGGTATGAGCAACCGGAGGGAAACGCGGCTGGAGGGATGAGTAAAGCTAGAAGGGGCTCACAGTGCTGGAGGGAGGGGGATGGTCAGGGGAAAACATTGTGGGCCGAGGGGTGGGGGTCGGGAGGGAGCAGGACAGGAAGCGGCCTGGGGGGGACGAGCAGCTGGCATAGGCGCCTATAGGGATGGGTCTAGAATACAGGTGCGGTGGGTCTGGGGGACGCTCGTGCCCGGGGCAGGGATAGAACGCAGGTGAGAAGCCACGCGAAGGGGCAGGGATGGCAGCTAGGTGGGGGGGGGGGGGGGGGACAGCGAGAGGGTAGGGATGGGGAGCCGAAGCTGAGGGGAGTGACCTCGAGGGAGGTGGGCACAGAGCAGCAGGGATCACGTCGGAGGGTGGGGGCAATGGAATGTGGGGGCGGAGACTGAATTCGACACTTGGCGAGTGGCACCAGCTTCCCCCAGACCCACCGCACCTATAGGACGCCCGAGTGCCTCCCTCAGCGACCTCGCCCCTTTGTCTCCCCAGTTTCCTCGTGCTTGCGCTGTCACCATTGCGAGAGCCGTGGGGACTGCACGATCGAGACGTGCATCCCAGGGCAGGAGCTGTGCAGAACCACCGTGCACTACAACCGCTGGAGAGGTGAGAGCCGGGATGCGTGCCAAACTGGCCCTTTCCCTCCCTCGAGGGAGATGGGGAGGGCAGGCACTTGTCTCTAGAAGGTCCCTGTAAAGCAAAGAAAACGTGCGAGTCCATTTGACACTCTGTGAAACTGAAAAACCCTCCCAGGTCCCTTAGCATGTCTTCGGGGCTAGGAGAACCTGCCCGAGGTTACACAGTCACGTAGAAACAGAAGCAGAACGTCAAAGGCCTTGAACGCAGAATCCTGCAAAGCCCAGAGGAGATGAAAATACGAAGGGGGGGGGAAGGGGAGGGGGGGGGGGGGGGGGGGGGCATGCTGAGAACCAGCTCAGTTTGGACCAGCCCGTAGGCTTCGTTTTGTGATAAGAGGGAACTACTATGATGAAAGGGAAGGTCGACTTTTATGAGCTCTTGGAGCTAAGTGACAGACTTGGAGTCTCCTTGAGGTTAGGGAAGAGGCCTTATCTCACCCTAAATGCTCTGCATCTCCTCCGGAGCTCACGCTGCCCAGGGCCCTTTAAAAAAAATTCGAGGGGCAGCTAGGTGGTGCAGTGGATGGAGCACCGGCCCTGACGTCAGGAGGACGAGAGTTCAAATCCGACCTCAGACCAAACACTCGACACTTGCTAGCTGGGTGACCCTGGGCAAGTTACACACTGTGTGTGTAATCTTGGGCAGGTCACTTAACCTCTCTGTGCCTCATTTTCTCATCTGTAAAATGGGTCTAATAATAGCACCAGCCTCCCAAGATTGTTGAGAGAATCAAATAAGATATTTGTAAAGTGCTTTGCAAGCCTTAAAAGTGAATTCACAGCTGGTAAGTGATCGGTTGGTCAACTCCTTTCTCTGAACTTCAGAGACTTAACGGTCTTCTAGCTCAAATCTGTTACAATTGCCAGTTTACAAACTGGCGTTTACAGACCGGAAAGACAGTGATGGAGCCAAGTTCAGAGAAGAGGGCAGGCTCAAGGCACAAGTGTGAAGAGGCAACCCCAATTGCCTAAAAAAAAAATTCTTAGAATGTGGACACTGGAAGGCCTTAGCTATCATCCCTTCCACCTTTCACCTTCTAGAAGGGAAATCTGAGGCCCAAAGAAAAGAGTTTTTGCCAGATGTCACACAGCAAGCCGGGGAGGAGCTAGGATCGGAACCCAATTCTTGGCACTCCAGCTGTCTGACTTATCTCAGAAATTGGCATGGTTCCTTGCCTACACTAACCCTCTTCACACCTGTGCCTTGAGCCTGCCCTCTTCTCTGAACTTGGCTCCATCGCTGTCTTTCCGGTCTGTAAACGCCAGTTTGTAAACTGGCAATCGTAACAGATATGAGCTAGAAGACCGTTAAGTCTCTGAAGTTCAGAGAAAGGAGTTGATCAACCGATCACTTACCAGCTGTGAATTCACTTTTAAGGCTTGCAAAGCACTTTACAAATATCTTATTTGATTCTCTCAACAATCTTGGGAGGCTGGTGCTTTTATTAGACCCATTTTACAGATGAGAAAATGAGGCACAGAGAGGTTAAGTGACCTGCCCAAGATTACACACACAGTTGGAAAATGTCTTCCACGGGTCTTCCTGACTTGTGCCAGCACTCTTATCCATTGTGCCATCTAGTGTCCTCAGCACCAAATAGCATGTACACCAATGAAGAAACACCGAGTCCCAAGTAATTTCAGGGGTTCAGGGAGAACACTAACAAGGGGAAGAAGCAGGGGAGGCTTCCTGTAGGAGGCAGCCTTTGAGGCCATGGAGGGACTTTGAGAGGCAGAGATAAGGAGGGAGAGTATCCCCAGGTCCAGACAGAGTTTAGCCAGTTTCAAAGATTTCTACCCCCTCTAACTCATGTAGCAATCCTCCCCGGAGGGCTAGCAGGCTACTTCTCAAACTTCTCATCCATTTCTCCCTTCTATCCTGATGGTCTCTATCTGACTGCATCACTTCTGATTTCTATTTCAGCCTCTTAAATCTCTATTCTAAAGTTCTTCATCTTGCTTCCCCGTCACTGGTCCCTGGATTTCCTTGTGTAAAAAAAAAAATGTCTTAATATGCAATGCTACCTGCCTCCTTTTTTAGCTATTTGACTCCTTTTCAAAAAGTTGTAACCTTCCAGAGTCATACTAAGTCCTTCTTTCCAATCTACCAAGCCTAGGTATCATTCCTGGATTTAAATTTGCCTCACAGGATCTTAAAAATTGGAAGGACCTACTCTGAAAAAATAAATCCTTGATAAAACATCCAGGCCATCCCAACCTCCTTCCTCCATAATCTTCTGGACTCTGGGTCTTTCTCCGCTTCTCCCCTTCTCCCTCTACCCCTGATGATGTCGTGGAATGTTTCTCTTCCTCTTCTCTTTCTCCTTTCCCAGTTCCTTCTTCACTGAGTTTCCCAGCTTGGGGTTTCTCTAACCTTTCTAGAATAGAGCTTTGGACTTGGAGTCGGGAACACCTGAGATCATATCTAGCCTCACACACTGGCTATGTGGCCCTCGGCAGGTCACTTAACCTCTATTTACATAATAATAATAATAACCCTGGCATCTTTCTGTCTTTCCTGTCTTCCTACACCTTATTCCCCCACCACATACTCTACAATCCAGTGACACTAGCTTCCATACTGTATTTCAACAAGCCATTCCTTCTCCAGACTTTCCAATGGCTGTCCTCTATGCCTGGAAATTCTCTGCCTCCTCCCTCCCACTTCCTGGCTTCCTTCAAGACTCAGATCAGATCCTACCTTCTACAGGGCATCTTCCTTGGTCTCTTATCCTCCCATCCCATCCCTTCCCTCTGAGGCTACCTTCCATTTACACTCTAAATATCTTGTATGTATATGGTTATTTGCATGTGGTTTTCTCCCATTAGACTATGAGCTCCTCAGGGTAGAGACTGAGTTTTGTTATTTTTTTTTTTTGCCTTCCTTTGCATCTTGAGCACTTGGCACAGTGCCTTATATCCAGTGGGTACTTAATAAATGCTTGTTGACTGATTGGATTATTGCTCCCAGAGGCAGCCCTTTCTGCCAAGGAATGCCTAATAGCTAGGAGGTTTGTCCGTACAGGACTAAAGTCTCACTCCTAGTCCCGCCCTTTGGGGCCAGACAGAACAAACCTAATCCCTCTTCCACATGACAAGCCTTCAAATACTTGACCAAGTTTCTCTTTCCAGGTTAAACATCTCCAGGTCCATCAATTCTCAGTCCCATCTGATTCTCCTGTGTCAGGGACTCAACAGCCCCTAGCCATCCTCTCGCTCTCCACTGGCCACTTTCCAATGTCCTTCTTAAATTGTGCTCAGAGTTGGACACAGTACCCAAAATGTGGTCCTAATTAAGGGTGGGAACATCACCCCCCTCCTTCTGGAAACTAGGCCTCTCCAACCCATCATCTTTGGCTTTTGTGGCTGCCAAGTCACACTAATGGCTCATCTCGCCCTGGCAGTCCAGTAAATCCCCCAAATGTTTGGCAGACAAAAGCCTGTCTGACCAAGCTCCCTCCAACTTAAACTTAGCTGATTTTTTTTGTCTCCACGTATAACCTTTACATCCGTCTTTGCTAAATGCTGTAGAGTTAGGCCCAGTATCCATGGACTCATGGATTTAGGGATCTCAGAGGTCACCCTCCTCATTTGAAAGATTAAGAAACTGAGGCCCAGATTGGGAAGTGACTTGGCCAAGATTTCACTATTAGTAGAAAGAAGAGCTAGAACCCAAACCCACTTCTTCTGATGCCACATCTACTTGTTTTCCCATCATATCACACAGCCTATCTAGGTCATTGGAGGTCCTGACTCACTGAGGCAACTAGGATTGGGCAGTGGATGAAGCACCAGGCCTGGAGTCTGGAGTTCAAATCCTCCCTCAGCTCATTCCTAGTTGTGTGACCTTGGACAAGGCACTTAACCTCTGCCTACCTCATTCTCTTTATCGATGGGACTAGCCATTTTAATAGGTTCCAATTCATCTCGTCCGTGTCTTTCTGATGGACCAGCCACCTCTAAGAAGAGTGCCCTCCTCATTGTCTTGCTTCCCGGTTCCCAGCAGATCAGAGGATGCCTCTCACATCCTCACCTCTGCCCAGTTTTCCAGAGCCCCACCTCACTCTAACCCTGGGATCCACTGTCCTCTTGGTAGGGACCATCTGCCTTGCCACTGCTCCCCAGGCTCCTCTGGGCCCTGCCATCTGCCCTCCTACTTCTCTAAGTACAATCTCACTTTGCCATCTGCCTTGAACTAAACACGAAATACAAGCTCTCTTCCATAATTTTCTCCCCCATTAGGAGATGAGCTCTGTGAGAGCAGGACCTGACTCACTTTTCTATATGTATCCCTAGACCTTAACACAGTCCATTTAGTAAATGTTTTTCCATTTCCAGAGTTACTGTGTCAAGCATTTTGCTAAAAATCTAGGTGAGTACTACTTAATGCATTTCTTTGATCTCCCAGTTTAGTAATCCTGTAAAAAAGACAATCAAGTCAGCTTCAAGTGATTTCCCAGTCTCATGGAAACCACCCCAGTGATCATGGCTTTTTCTAATTTTTCCCTAACTCCCTCTTTCATGGTATGTTCTAGAATCAGAGTTAAGGTCAAGGGTCTATAGTTGGCAGATTCCAGTTTTTCATAATCTTGGGATGACTTTTGCCCTTTTCCAAGCCTGGGACACTTCACTTTTGTCCACCATCTTTTAAAAGATCCCTAGCAGTGAGGGGCTGGGCCATCCCACCCACCCACCATCCTGTTCAGTACTTAAGGCTAGAGCTCATCTCAGCCAGGGAATTTGTCTTCCTCAAAGGTAGCTAGTTTCTCTTTTCCTTTCTCCTTACTTTTCTTGGGTAAAACTTTCACTTTCAGTCTGTCCTTTGTAGTCCAGAAAGGTTGTTCCTTGACAAAGAAAACAGGCAAAATCCAAATTAAGCGTTACTTGCCTTTTGTTGTTAGATATCATGACCCCATCCAACCTGGACAGTGGCCCTCCTATTCATTCCTTAGTAGCTGTCTTTCCCTGCCATATGGTTTTTCCCCTCCATTTTATTCTATTTTTCAATGAACAAGAATTTATTTTCTCCCCTTCCTACTCTCCCCTAAAATTAAAAAAAAAAAGAAAATCCTTAGAACAAATACTAATAGTCTAGAAAAACAAATTCCTATATTGTCCATGTCCCAAAAATGTATGTCTCTTTTCCAAATCTTGAACCTGTCCCCTCTCTGTCACCTTCATCATCAGCCCTCTGGAGTCATGGTTTCTCATTGCGTTGATCAGAGTTCTGAAGTCTTTCAAAGTTCTTTGGTTCTTACCATGTTGTTATTTATCAATTGTTCTTCTGGTTCCCTTCACAGAAATCTTCCCAGGATGCTTAGCACCCATATCCACACACAGCCACCTTCCTTACCTACATCAGCTCATTCTGAATATTAGCACCCCTAGCAAGATTCTCAGAAGGAAAGCACTAAGGAAAAAAACAAACAAACCAGGAAGCACCAACCATCATTCTTCTCCCCCTTTTCTTCCTGTCTTTCGTCTCCTCATTCACCCTAGGGATGAATATCACCATTCCTAGAAACCCAAGAAGCCACTTTCCCCATGGACAGCCCATCTCTGCCCTGTAGAAGAAAAGCTTCCCACCCATTACATGATTCCAAGCATCCGTTGCCCTTCCCTTTCTCCTGTCATGTCTTCCTACCTTCCTGGCACGGGTCAGGATTCCCCTTTGCCTCTTCAAACCCTTCTCCTTCTTTGTTCTGACCTTGTCTTGTTTTCCTTCGGGAATCCTTTATTCTCCCTGCTCACCTGCCTTTAATGGGCAGTTATCAAGTTCCAGTCAAACCTGGGTGAAGGTCGGAGGTGATGCCCCACAATGGCCCGATGACGTAGCTGCCCTGAATGAGTGCTTGGGAGATGTGAGCTAAGACCCATTTTATAACCTTCCATCTCGGGGCCTCAGTTCCTACCTCTAACCCAGGCATACATGCTCGTGCTTCTTTCCTCCCCAGTGAATGGGTTTGGAGAGTCATATTTATTTAAACTTATTTTTAAAATAAATATTTATTAAGCAATTCTACTGTGGACAGAGCCCGTGCTCAGGACTGGGAGAGATATAGATTCTAGATAGAACCCCACGCCAGCCCAGAGAGAACTCACAGTCCCAGAGGGAGAGAAGACATTTATTTATTCATTCAATGCACAGACATTTATTAAGCCCTGCTGCGGGCTGAGACTTGTGCTCAGCTCTGAGGAAGACATTAAAGTTAGTGACATACACCCCTGCCCTTGTGTCTAGTAGGAGGATGAGACATTTATTCATCTGGTGGTACAGTGGATAGAGCACAAGACCTGGAATCGGCAAGACCAGTCAAATTTGGCCTCAGACAGTTCCTAGCTGTGTGACCCTGATGGAACCTCACTGTGCTTCAGTTTCCTCATCTATAAAATGGGAATAATAACACCTACCTCTCAGAGTTGTGAGGATCAAAGGAGATATTAGTAAAGCGCCATATAAATGCTAAGTTATTATTATTATCCTGCAGCTATTTATTAAGCACCTACTGTGTGCAGAGCACTGTACTTGCCACAGGGCCTGCCCTCATGAAGCTTCCAATCAGAGAAGCAAGCTAAGCATGCAAAGCCTTGTGGCTAAATGCCAGTGTCCTCTGGGCTGGCTACCAGAAGGAGCCTGGGCTCCAGGGAGGCTGAGGAGGCCCAGCACGGCTTAGGCACCCCTGCCCATATCGTCCCCCCAGGAGGCCAGGAGCTGGAGGTGGTGCTGAGGGGCTGCGCTGTGACCGGGAAGGACAACAGCTCCATGTCCTACCGAACGAGCCAGGAGATAATCATGCTGAAGGAGACCGTGTGTGACTTTGACCTCTGCAATCAACCAGACCCCCGTGAGTAGGACCCTGGCCAGCTGGCCCCGAGCCATTCGGGAGGGAGGAGTCAGAGCTAGAAGGGCTCCTGGAATGCAGAACACGGATTGTAATGGCTGGAAGGGAACCTGGAGACTGTCAGAGCCGGGAGGGACCATAGAACATGGAATGACAGGCCTGTGGGAGGGACCTGAGAGCCCAGAACATAAGTGGTTAGAGCTGAGAAGGATCTTAGAACCTGGAAAGCCTGTGCTGGGGAGGACCTGAGAAGAAAAAATATAGATTGTCAAAGCTGGAAAGAACCTTAGAACCTTAGATCTTAGAACAGAGCTTAGGGTGGAGAAGTCAGGCAGGGAAGTCATAAAACACATAAATTCAGGGCCAGGAAAGTTCCCTTGCTGTGGTTGGGGGATGCAAGGTGTTAGGGGAGGTCTGTTGAGAATGATTTCCTGGGAGATGTGGTCCTTAAATAATCCTGAGGATTGATGACCCCAGATGAGAAGGGAGGAGCAGGAAAGAGCTCAGGTGGGGGGAGCCTTGGGACAGAGGCCAGAGAGATCATGAGCAGGGCTGGGGCATGGGCAGGCCAGGAGGGGCAGGTGTGGTCATGGCTCCCAGGTCCTGAGCCACCCACTGTAAAAGGGGGGAGGGAGGGCTGTCCACATACCGTCTCTGTCTTCATCGTTCAGCCTCCACTCTACTCCTCTGTCTCCGTCTCTGTCTTTCTCTGTCTCTGTCTGTCTGTCTCCCTGTATCTCTGTCTCTCTGTCTCTGTCTTTCTCTCTGTCTCTCTATCTCTCTCTCTGTCTCTGTCTCCATCTCTGTCTTTCTCTGTCTCTGTCTGTCTGTCTGTCTTCCTGTATCTCTGTCTCTCTCTGTCTGTGTATGTGTATCTCTGTCTCTCTGTCTCTGTCTTTTTGTCTCTCTATCTCTCTCTCTGTCTCTGTCTTTCTCTCTGTCTCTCTATCTCTCTCTCTGTCTCTGTCTCCATCTCTGTCTTTCTCTGTCTCTGTCTGTCTCCCTGTATCTCTGTCTCTCTCTGTCTGTGTATGTGTGTCTCTGTCTCTCTGTCTCTGTCTTTCTGTCTCTCTATCTCTCTCTGTCTCTGTCTTTCTCTGTCTCTGTCTGTCTGTCTCCCTGTATCTCTGTCTGTCTCTGTCTGTGTATGTGTGTCTCTGTCTCTCTGTCTCTGTCTTTCTCTCTGTCTCTCTATCTCTCTCTGTCTCTGTCTTTCTCTGTCTCTGTCTGTCTGTCTGTCTCCCTGTATCTCTGTCTCTGTCTGTGTATGTGTGTCTCTGTCTCTGTCTTTCTCTCTGTCTCTCTATCTCTCTCTCTCTCTGTCTCCGTCTCTGTCTTTCTCTCTGTCTCTGTCTGTCTGTCTCTGTCTTTCTCTCTGTCTGTGTTTGTGTGTCTCTGTCTCTCTGTCTCTGTCTTTCTGTCTCTCTATCTCTCTCTGTCTCTGTCTCTCTCTGTCTTTCTGTCTCTCTATCTCTCTCTCTGTCTCTGTCTCCATCTCTGTCTCTCTCTGTCTGTCTGTCTCCCTGTATCTCTGTCTCTCTGTCTCTGTCTGTCTGTCTGTCTCTGACTTTCTCTCTGTGTTTGTGTGTCTCTGTCTCTCTGTCTCTGTCTTTCTCTCTGTCTCTCTATTTCTCTCTGTCTCTGTCTCTCTGTCTCTGTCTTTCTCTCTGTCTCTCCCTGTGTCTCTCTCTCTCTCTTTCTCTCCCCCCCACCTCACACCTGGGGCCAGGAGAGTTACCCTTTTCCCTCTCTCCAATTCAGGTCCCTCCCCTACTTTCCCTGGGGCTCGGACCCTAGAGTGTCAGTCCTGTGCGTCCTCTGACCAGAGCTGTGAACGTGGTCGGGCCCTGCCCCTTCGCTGCCCAGAGCCCACGGACCAGTGCATAGAGCGGATTTCCCAAAGCAATCTTGAAGGTGAATGCAGCCCCTGCCCCCTCCCATACTCATCAGTAGGCCCCTCCCTAATTATCCTCTCCTCTACTCTCCCTGCCTGAGTGTCCCCCATCACTGCTCCTCTCGAGTGTCCTGCCCATCACTGATCCATCCTGTGTGGCCTCCACAGAGGGCTCCCTGGACGAGCGCTATGTGCGCGGCTGCGGGAATTTTCCGGACTGTCCAGGCCCCGTTGGCTTCCATAACAAAGACACTTTTCACTTCTTGAAATGCTGCAACCATAGCCAGTGTATCCATGGCCCAAGTGAGCAAAGGGAAAAGGGAGAAGGGAGAAGGGATGGAGGGAGGAGGGAGGAGGGAGGAGGAAGGGGGAGGAAGGAAGAGCAGGCTGGCCTGGGCCACTGCAGGGTCCGAAGAGTGCCTGGAGGGAAGGGACGGGCCCTGGGAGGTGCAGGCAGTTAGCTTCTGGAGGACTCGAGGACGAGGACCCATCTGCTCTTCTCCTTCTCTCACTCATTGTCCCCCAGTGACGAAACTCTCTGACTACCCCGTGAATGGCCTCCAGTGTCACAGCTGTGAGGGGAACGGCACCCACGGCTGCTCCCCGGAGGAGACGGCCGTCACAGCCTGTCAAGGTCCTATGAATCGGTGCTTTGAAGTCACCGGCACCCACAGTAAGGACCCCTGGGCTGGGGAAGGGGACATGAAGGACACAGGATTAAGGGGCAGGGCATACCTTTAGAGATCCTCCAGTACAAACCTTTCATTACAAGATGGGGAAACTGAGTCAGGAATTCCTATGAGAGGGAGGAGTAACTTCTTATGAGAGAAGGGGAGGGCAACACTTCCTATGGGCTGAGATTTCCCAGAGTGGAAGGAAGAATTGGAGCCCACCTAGTTCATCAGATAGCGCACTGGGCTTGCCATCAGGAAGACCCGAGTTCAGATCCTGCCTCTGAGACTTCCTAGCTGTGTGCCCCTGTGCCTCAGCTGCCTCCCCAGTAAAGCGAGGACCTGGACCAGATGACCCCTAAGGGGCCAGGATCATTTGACCCCCTAAGGGAGGCCTGAAGACCAACAGAATCCTAGACCTTCAGGCTGAGAAAAGATTTCAGCAGCAGCCCCGTGGTCCAGCAGAATCCCTGTATCATGTGAAGGGAGGAGCTCCTGGAGAGGGATGGGTGACAGGGGCTAGTGAGAGCCCCCCAACACACACACACACAGCCACACTTAGGTGCACTCCAATATCCATCCTCACATCCATACGCACACTCTCATACATACACAAATACACACTCACACACACATACTCTCATACATACACTCACACGCACACACACATTCACATACACAGCCACACTCAGGTACACTCCCATATTCATACTCATTATACCCATACACACTCTCTCATACACACACACAAACACACATACACATACACACACACAATGATATACATACACACACACACAGCCACACTCATGTACACTCCATATATATATACTTATACTCATTCTCATACACACACACACACACACACACACACACACACACACGAACTCCCACACTCCCACTATTTCCATCCCAAGGCACAGGGTACTTGGTAATGGTTTGAATCCCAGGGAGCAAAGGACAGTGTAGGAACCCTGGGCAGAGTCGGGATTGATGGCTGAGCCCCTCTTTTTCCCCTCCTCCTCCCTCTGCTCTGCCACAGAACACTGGGGTCCCGGCTACACCGTCCGAGGCTGCGTGGCCCCCATCTGGTGCCAGGCTCCCCATCTGGCTGCCATCTTCTTCGACCTGGCCCAGCCACAAACCTTCTGCTGCTTCGCCAGCGAATGCAATAATGCGGCCCGAGACGCAAATTCCCGATCGAAGGGAACAGGACCCGGGCTTTTCCCCACCTCTCTTACCCTCAGCCTGCCTCTCATGCTGCTGACCGTGAACTTGACCCCTGCCAAGGGGGCTTGACCCAGCTCCATCCTGCTCCCTACCCCCACCCTCCCATCATAATTTAAGGTTTTGTATCTGACAGAAGGTTTTGTGTGAATTGCAGAGTCTAAACCCCCTTGTCTCCCTCCAGTCCTAGCCCGGTAGCAGACCCAGGCCTTCAAAGTCAGAGGCCGAGCATCAGCTGACTGATTGACTGATGAACCTACTGGGTAGTGAAGGCAGGACTGGGTAAAGGCTTGGGGGGAGGAGTTCAGAGGCCAGAAAACCCCAACACGTCTCTTTGGCACTGCCCCTAGTAAGGGGATCTGGGCCCAGATGAGGCTGTGGAAGGGGATCTAGAGAGCCAGGGCCTGGAGGAAAGGAACAAGAAGGGATGGGGCCTAGAATGCTAGAACCAGGTCTTCTGGGTGGCCCTTGATGGGCCTGCCCTGAGCTTGGGATTGGCCATACCCCTTCCACGGGCATTACACCTCCAAAATGGAGCATGATGCTTGGAAGAGGGAGGACTACATTTCCCATGATGCCATAACACATGAGAGCTATGCTTCCAATGATGCTAGAGGGAGAACTACACCTCCCATGATGCTTTGGGTAATAAGGCCCACTGCACCTTCCACGAAGCAGTGGCAAAGGGCTAGGACTACACCTTCCATGATGCTCTGGGAGAGGACGACCCTCGCAGAAAACCACAAAATTTCTGCTTTATAAGGGACTTTTCCAAAGCCCTGTAGTCTCCAACAGCTAGTCATCCAGCTTTTGTTTGAGTGTACCCATTTGAACCAAAACTCCTACCTTTCAAGGCAGGCAGGCAACATGCATTTATTAAGCGTTTACTATGTGCCAGGTGTTGGTCTAAATGCTGGGGATACAAATACAAGCAGAAAGCATAAGAGTCCTGTTCCTTCCCTCAACAAGCTTACATTCTAAGGGGGGGAAGATAGCACTTAAAATGTAGTCATTAAGGAGGAGGAAGGTGCCCAGTGCAGAGCATGGCGGGTGAGATCTCTGAGAGGGGAGACATTGGCAAGGAGCCAACCATGGGAGGTCCCGTTCTACTCTGGGACAGCTCTCATTCTGGGCGTGTTCTCCCCCACGCTGAGCCGACATTTGCCTCTTTGCAATCCATTCTGCCTTCTTGGCCGTGGCATCCCTTCAGATAGTTGAAGACAGCTCTTGAGCCTTTGCCATCTTGGAATGCTACCTTCCTTAAATTTGGTACCAAAAGTGGCATGACTGGACAGTGCAGAGGAACCCCACTCTTCCTGGAAGCTGTGCCCTCTCAGTGCAGCCCAAGGAGGAATTAAGTTCTTTCAGTAGCCACCTTATACTTTTGATTCATGTTGAACTTGCAGGCCTCTGAAATCCCTTGAGTGTTTTCTGTTTGGTTGGTGTTTTGTTTTGTTTTGTTTTGTTTTGTTTTGTTTTTTGACAAATCCTAACCAAGCCTTTCCCATCTTGTATCTGTGAAGTTGATTTTTTTACTTCATTTTTTTATTCCTTTCTGCATTTCACTTCCTGAATGTCAGGACTTTTTAAAAATATATATATTTATTTAATATTTTATTTTTCTCCTATTAAATATGAAAACAATTTTTAGCATTCATTTTTTAAAAATTTTTTGAATTCCAAATTCTCTCCCTCCCCTACCCCCTCATTGAGAAGGAAAGCAATTTGATATAGGTTATATATCTGCTGTTATGCAAAACATATTTTGATATTGGTCGTGTTGTGAAATAAAACACAGATAAAAATAAACAAGAAAAATAAAGAAAGCAAAAAGCATGTTTCAATCTGCATTCAGGCTCCATCAGTTTTTTTCTCTGGAAGTTGGTAGCATTTTTCATCATAAGCCCTTCAGAATCGTCTTAGGTCATTGTATCGCTTAGAATAGCTAAGTTATTCAGAATAGATCATTGTTAACAATATTGCTGTTACTGTGTACAATGTTCTCCTGGTTCTGCTCGTATCACTTTGCATCAGTTCATGTAAATATTCCCAGGTTTTTCTGAAAGCATCCTGCTCATCATTTCTTATAGCACAATTGTATTCCATCACAATGATATACCACAACTTGTTCAGCCATTTCCCAATTCATAGGCATCCCCTCCATTTCCGATTCTTTGCCACAACTAAAAGAGCTGCTATTAATATTTGTGTACAAATAGGTCATTTTCTTTTATGTCTTTTTTTATCTCTTTGGACTGTAAGGGTTATATGCATGGTTTTATAACCATTTGGGCATAGTTCCAAAATTGCTCTCCAGAATGGTTGGATCAGTTCTCAACTCCACCAATAATGCATTAGTGTCTCAATTTTCCCATATCCCCTCCAACATTTATCATTTTCCTTTTCTGTCGTATTAACCAATCTGATAAGTGTGGGGTGGTATCTCAGAATAATTTTAATTTGCATTTCTCTAATCAATAGTGATTTAGAGCAATTTTTCAGCAATTAGAGCAATATGACTATTAATATCCTTGAATATTTCATCTGAAAACTGCCTGCTCATATCCTTTACCATTTATCAAATGGGGAAAGGCTTGTATTTTTATAAATTTAACTCATTTCTCTAAATATTTGAGAAATGAGGTGTTCATCAGAGCAACTTGCTGTAAAATTTTTTCACAGTTATGATTACTTGTGTATTTCCTTCCATCCTGTTTCCCCGTTTGTCCTACTCTCTCTCTCTCTCTTTTCACCTTGTCCATCCTCAAAAGCATTTTGCCTCTAACTACCACTTCCCCAAATCATCCCTCCCTTCCATCATCCTTCTTTCTCTTATCTGCTTCCCCTCCTACCATCCTGTGGAGTGATATAGATTTCTATACCCAACTGAGTGTGTATGTTATTCCCTTTTTGAACCAATTCTGATGAGAGTAAGGTTTAAGCACTCTCCCTACTTCCTTCATTTCCCCTCGACTGTAAAAGCTCTTTCATGCCTCTTTCATGTGAGGTAATTTACCCCATTCTGCCTCTTCCTTTCCCCTTCTCCCAGTCGATTCCTCTTTCTCACCATTTAATTTTATTTTTTAGTTATCATTTCATCACATTCAACTCACATCCATGCCTTCTGTCTATGTACACTTCTTTTAACTGCCCTAATAATGAGAAAGTTCTTAGGAGTTACAAGTATCATCTTCCCATGGAGGAATGTAAACAATTTAAATTTATTGAATCCCTTATGATTTCTCTTTCCTGTTTACCTTTTTATGCTTCTCTTGATTCTTTTTTTTGAAAGTCAAATTTTCCATTTATCTCTGGTCTTTTCATCAGGAATGCTGGGAAATTGTCTATTTTATTAAATATCCATTTTTTCTTCTGAAGGATTATACTCAGTTTTGCTGAGTAGGTTATTTTTGGTTATAATCCTAGCTCCTTTGCCCTCCAGAATATCATATTCCCCCTTCAATCCTTTAATGTAGAAGCTACTAAATCTTATGTTATCCTAACTGTGGCTCCACAATATTTCAACTGTTTCCTTCTGGCTGCTTGCAGCATTTTCTTCTTGATCTGAGAGCTCTGGAAATTGGCTATAATATTTCTGGGAGTTTTCATTTTGGTATCTCTTTCAGTAGGTGATTGGTGCATGTTTTCCATTTCTATTTTTCCTTCTGGTTCTAGAATATCATGGCAGTTTTCTTTAATAATTCCTTGAAAGATGATATCTCAGTTCCTTTTTTTTATTATGGCTTTCAGCTGGTCCAATAATTCTGAAATTATCTCTCCTCAATCTATTTTACAGGTCAGTTGTTTTTCCAATGAGATATTTCACGCTTTCTTCTAGTTTTTCATTCTTTTGATTTTGTTTTATTGTTTCTTGATGTCTCATGGAGTCATTAGCTTCTACTTGCCCAGTTCTAATATTTAAGGAATAATTTTCATCAGTGAGCTTTCAAATCTCCTTTTTTTCTGGCCAATTCTGCTTTTTAAGGAGTTCTTCTCTTCAATGGATTTTTTTGCCTCTCACCATTTGACCTATTCTGTTTTTTAAGGTGTTATTTTCTTCAGCATTTTTTTGTGCCTCCTTTACCAAGTTGTTGACCCTTTTTTCATTATTTTCTTGCATCACTCTCCTTCCTTTTCCCAATTTTTCATCTACCTCTCTTCAATTGACTTTTAGAATCCTTTTTGAGCCCTTCCAGGAATTCTTTTGGGGCCTGAGACTAATTCACATTCTTCTTTGAGGCTTTGGATATACCAGTTTTGGCTTTATCTTCTGAGTTTGTGTTTTGATTTTCCCCGTCACCATAGTCACTTTCTATGGTCAGGTTCTTTGTTGTTGTTGTTTGTTCATTTCCTGCCTATTTCTTGACTTTTAACTCTATGTTAAAGTTGGGCTCTGCTCCCAGGGTGGAGAGAGTACTCTTCCAAGCTTCAGGCCTTTCTTGCTGCTGTTCTCAGAGCTAGTTCTGGGACTCAGTAAGTTTTCAGTTCTTCCAAGGTGGTATGATCTAAAGAGAAGTGTGTTTACTACTGTCTTGGCCTGTGCTCTGGTCTGTGAGTGACCACAAGCACTGTTTTCCACCTTGGAACTGTGACCCTGGTCCCTATTCCCCTGCAGCCACAAGCTCTGGGGTGCTAATGCTCCTCCTCACCCCAAGACTGAAACCCAGATCCAAGTATGGGCAATGCACCAGAGTTCTGCCCCCAGTGCCAACAAAGGGACCCCTCTAATCTCCTTCTGACCAGTTGTCCAACCCACTTAGGATCTGTGGACTGAGATGTCCAGAAGCAGCTGCTGCCACCCCTGATTCAGTCACCCCCACGGCCTGCTGCTGGTTTGCTGGGGCCTCGTCTGCATGAGCACAGCTTGTGATAGACTGTGTTAGTCTGCGCTCCACTCTCACCTGGATGCAACAGACCTTTCCTGCCAACCTTCCTAAGTTGTCTTGGGCTGGAAATTTGTTTCACCCCATCTTTTTGTGGGTTCTGTTGCTCTAGAATTTGTTTTAAGACATTATTTAAAGCTGTCTGGAGGAGAATTTGGGACAGCTCAGGTGAGTCCTTGCCTTTTCTCCACCATCTTCAAAATTTATTATTTTGAACCAGGACAGAGCTCATCTTCACCCCACCCCCGCTCCCAATCCTTCCCCTCTTCCCAATTTTCCTATTACTGTTGACGCCAGCAGATTTCCCTGTGACTCAGGCTCACAACCTCAAAGTCATCATCAACCCCGCTCTTGACCTCAGCCCACATGTCCAGTCTACTGTCTCTACTTTTAACAATGTCTCTCCTATACCTCCCCCTCTCTCCACTCACCCAGGGCCACCTTGATGCTGGCTGCTGTCCCTGCCTCAAGCTTCTCCTCCCTGTCTAGCCCATTCTCTCCTCAGCTGCCAACGGGATCTCCCTAAAGCTCAGGTCTGACTTTGGCACCCCGTTCCTACTCAGTCCACCCCAGGGACTCCATGTTACACCCAGGATCAAATAGAAAATCCTCTGTTTGGCATTTAAATCTCTTCACATGAGAATGTAAACTTCCTGAGAACAAGGACTGTCTTCAGCTTTGTATTTGTATGTACTTAACAAACATTTGCTGACTTCTCATCCTTTTCCCTTCCCCCCTTTCCAATTTTCTATGCTTTACTAACCTTGTTTTTATATCACTTTCATTTCTGAATATATTCTACCTTCCTCCCTTTCCCAGCCATCCATTCTTTGAAACCAAGAATAAAAAAGGGAAAGAAACAAAAAAAAACACATTACATTACATTATGTAGTATTGCCTTATTTAATATTACCTCTCTGAGACATTCTTCCCAGTTGACATGGAATTATTCATTAATAGCTACTCCTTTTGGATCTGACCACTCAGCTAGTTTCAAATCCGCCTAAACAGGGTCCACTGGTTTTCTATCTTTGCCTCAGAAATGAATGCTTTGCAGTAACCTCCCCAAACTCTGTTTCATTTCCTGATTCACCCCTCCAGTAATGAAATTAATCTGTCATGACCAGTGCTAGAGGAAACCACAACTTTTCCATGTAGTTAGGTGACTCAGTCTCTGTTAAAAGACTTCCTTTTGGCCCCTTGAGGTGTAGGACTTAAAACTCAGAGCACGATGAGGTAGATTAATATACATTTCATCACAACCTTCCTTTTCTCCCTTCACCTCCAAAATGTTAATTCCTTGTTGCTGACAATCAGGTCCAGAATGTAATTTCTCCGTCTTTGGGTCCTTTTTTTTTTTTTTTTTTGCTAGGCAGTGGGGTTAAGTGACTTGCCCAGGGTCACACAGGTAGTAAGTGTCAAGTGTCAGAGGTGGGATTTGAACTTAGGTCCTCCTGACTCCAGGGCAGATGCTCTACCCACTGTACCACCTAGCTGCCCCGGGGTCCTATTTCCTTAAGGCAGCAGGCTCATTTTGCTTGTTACCCATGCTTAGTAAACTTGTACAGAGACATCTGAAGCTGTGAGACTTGTTACTGACTCTTCCTGGATTTTGCCTAAATTTATGGGTTTCTCTACCATCCTTTGTCCTGGACTAGGGAGGTGGGAAGGACCATTCCTGGGGGAAATGAGCTAAAATCCACAGCAGTGATCAAGAGGAGGGGTAGGGAGCTAACTGCGGTCAGGTAGCGAGGGCATCCGA